AGAGCTCTTTTATGTGAGCACCACTTTTGTAGTGATAGCTACCTAATCGGGCACTGTTTTCCTCACATTTTATAAAATTATATTGATATCTCGAATTATTCCGTCTCCTCTATTGTTAAGCTACTTATGATCTATGCTCCTACTTACCCTACACTTGTTGGTCACTTTAGCGTAAGATCTAGGCACTTACCATATCATACAAGAGGCTATATTATTCTTTGACTCCGAGGAGGATGAATAGCCCGGCTTTGACGGATGAGAAGCCTTGACCGTAATCCTATGTTGACTGACGATTCAAAGTGGCTGAAGAACTCCTTTTGAACCAAACCATTTTCAGCTTTGTTGAACGAACTGTTAAAGTTCAATTTTGTTTACGTTTGAATCATTTAGAGTGTGCCAAGTAGCTTAGGTGTTTGGCTAACGTTTTTGGGATTCCTTTAGTTATTGTTGATCACGTTTAAGCATAAATAGCTAGTAAATACTTCGATCCATGTTAAAGTTATAAACAAAATGTAACAGAACAAAACAACGCTAACTCACGTCAGCTTACACGAATACGCGTCGCATTTACAAAGGAAAATCATGAACTATATGAGTATTATCTACTGTACGGAGCAGTGTTACATTCCTAAGCTTTATCACTACTATTCACAACATACTCCGTACCATTCACACAAGTCACTACAGACGTCTTATTACTGTCTTCAAAATTTCAAGTAATTCCGAGGGTCGGGTACAAATAAATTGCGTAGACAATGCCTTTGTTCCTGAAGGGATTAGATTACGATGATTGCCAACTGAGTTTCTAGTTACAGCCCTGTTACTAACTAGCTGTGTAACGTTATTATTTATAAAATAATGGGTTTTCGCGCGTAAATTGATGTTTGACAGGCGGCCATCTTGTTTTTTTCGCGCTTGAAAAATAATGAGTGACATGTGATGGCGTGTTTTAAGAGTGAATAATTAAAGAGTGTTTGTTGTGTGTGGGTCTCACGTAAATTATAGATATGGACATATATTTTTCTATAGAATTCTATAGAAAAAGAAAGATTTAAAACACAAAGTCACAACAAAACGTATTCAACAAAAACATAACATTAGTATCAAGTTATGTGGTATCAAAGAGCTTCACGTTTCCATGTCACAGGTATGTTAATATACCTGTTATATTTACCTTCGCATTTATGAAATTATTTTAAAAATTCCCTCCGACGTTGACATTTATATTGGCGGGAGCGTACTTAGCACCACTCTGTCAGTTGCCAACCCCAACAAACTTGGCAATTGAATAATAAAATGCGTAATACAATATACGGCGGAGCGTAAAAAGTGAATTTGGCGCTCCGTATACGAAAATATAAAGCGGGTCGATGGTACACTGAGTTGATATTTTTTCCCTTAAAATGTTACGTGCAAAATGTGTGGGTGATTTGCGTGGGAATGTGGTTTTGTGATAAAATGTAATAATTAATGCGATCAGGATATTATTAAATGAGCGAATCGTTGAAGATAACTATGCATAACACAATCTGTGTTATATGATACCTATTAGGTACGAACAGTAGGTTCAGTTATTTACATTTAAAAAACGAACAACTTGAATTTATTTTAAACTTCCAAAGCTCAGTAATGGCGCTTTCAATCACTTACCATCAAACATTAATTTAAGTTAATCATCAATAAAGACCTTGAAACTATCTAAAATTCATAAATCAAAATGTAATCTGCCGCTACAAGTTAGGTGATAATATTCAAAAAGTCGTAAGTACAGATAAGGGCTCTCTATAATTCAGGCACTATTCATTCAATACGGGTGAGGTAAACCACGGTAAGTTTACGAGGCAGGCTGGAAGCGTTAAGCTCCGAATGGATTAGCTCTCGACACAACATAAGATAGTACACAGAAAATTCACTACGAATTTCAAGATAATCTTTGACGTGATCTAGAAGTGACATTCGTAGATGAATCAGAGGTCAGCTTGAAGTAGTTCATTGACCTCCTTTTGGAACTAGTTATGATTTTGGTGTTGATATTATTGTGACATCTAAAGTAATCTTTTTTATGTTAGTTCAAACCTAGAGATGATAAGTATTTATATCGACAACAAGAAATTGAATAACAATGGAAAGCCATATAGTTAGTAAACTACAAAAAATTTAAGTTTTACTTATAGGAAATTAGTAGCTTTTTATAATTTATAATGCGTAATTTGTGTAGTGTAACACAATATTTTGATAAGTCAAAATTTTATTCGTTTAAATCGTTTTTTGGGGACACAAAAATACACACAAGTTTAACGCATGTTACAGTCTTTAAATATTCCAACCAGTACTTACATTTTGAACTTGAAGTGTACGAAATATATTTGTGAACCTTTTCACAATGCCTGTCCTTTAAAGTTACCTAACCGCAGGTCGGGTGCCACATAGAAAGAGATTTTACTTGCTTACGTGCTAGTTTCAAGCCCAAACTAAGGATTTAAGTATTTGCTTAAAAACTTTTTGCTAAAGTATCAGTAGGTACTGTCTACACTGGAACATTGTGGTCTAGTGATGTTACTAATTGGATTTGTTAGTAACTGATTATTGCTACAACTATAATGCTTTATAACGACCATTTATTAATTTGCGGTTGTTTTAATGGATTTGCAACAATATTTTAGGCTTTACATTTTAATATATTCTTTACTAGCGACCCGTCCTGGCTTCGCACGGGTGGAATATGCATGTATTATACATATAAATCTTTCTTGAGAATCACTTGCCGGAATACTGCAACGTTACTCAATTTTAAGTCGTGCATAAATATCGTGCCATCTCTGTCATTTTACAAAAAATTTGTAGTGACAGAATTATACTTAAGCACGACTTAAAACTGAGTAGCGTTTGAGTATTTCGACATATATCTATTAAAAGAAACCGCATCAAAATCTGTTGCGTAGTTTTAAAGATCTAAGCATACATAGGGACAGACAGACGGCGGATAGCGACTTTGTTTAATACTATGTAGTTATGCAAAATGGGAATTTTACTCATATACTTTATATGGCATTAATATAATTTACATAGTTTTAAGCACATTTTTGTTGTTACAGTATTGGTTCAGTATCTTTAATTCGTAAGTGAATTAATAAAATTAATTGGACTATCAATTAAACGTGTAAATATTCAGTAAAGTGTGCCTTTGTTTTAATTTTGCTCTTTGTTTCCATTATGTATATAGTTGATTTATTTTATTGCACCAATTATCTTGTGAGTAATGATACAGTCTGAGCTATATATTCCTGTTCTTCATAACGATGTGATGTGCTTTTAATTTTGTTCAATTATTTTTATTGTTCAATAATGTTTATAAGGGAACAGTTTACAGTCCGAAATAAAACTGGAATAACATTAAATATGTCATAACATTTAATTTAAAGCTAACAAATCTACGGTACGAAAAAGCTATTGAGTTTAACAGCAGTAATTGATTTCCTAAAGTAGATTCCCTAGAAGTAAATCTTGAACGCTTTTAGTTCACCGACGACAAGAAAAGGAATCGCTTGAACCGAAGCAAATCCGTCCAAAGAAAAGTTATGTGAGACCGAACAAGATATATACTGGTCAAAAAACTATTAGACTGTACTGAAATCCTCCCGAGACCTGCACATACCAAAGAAAAATAAATTACCTGATTTTGCGCGCAACGAAGCACTTACATCTATCCTTTTCTAACGCACTAATCCGGGCGTACCAGCGCGTTATACTTGTCACACTCTGGCTTTCATACATCACGTATAAGAGCATTGTAAGCCCCTAAAATGAGTGTTTATTGCTGATCCTTCGAGCCGGACTCTTGTGAGCATCTTCGGTGTTAGTAAAAATGGACTTTATGTCTTTGTCGTTAGGGTCAGTTTGTGGAGTTTCAGGGTTCAGGTGCGTATACAGGCTTATCCAGTCGTTATTCTCGTGGCAGATGTACGTAGTTCTGGCCGGTGAACTATGGGGATTTGTTGAGTTTGTTGTGAAAAATTGTGGCGTGTTTTGCTCTTAATTCTTTCGTCTTGTAAGTTATTGGGGAGTTTTGTCACCGAGTCTGTTGTTAAGTCAATGTATTTATTATGTCCTTGAACTATTTCTTCCGTATAGTTTCCTTGTGAGATCAATATGAGATACAGGATTATTTGTTCTGATAAACAAAACTTCCCCGTATGTTCTTGTATACAATTGTATTATCGGAAGTGGTAGTGTCGTATATTGGTCGGCAATAAGGAGTATCTCTGTGAGACGAGTATTGTAGGAAGTGTCGATGTATTCTTGATAAATATTTATAGCTGACATGCCCTGAATATATTTGCGGGAGATATTTCCATAAACATGTTTGTATTCCAGTTACGAGAGGATTCACTGATATTATTGGACTTAGGTTTCAATATTTTCGTCCTGAACGTGTGACTGATTGAAAATGTGTTCTAAATCGAAGAAGTTAAAGTTGAAATTACGGTAACGACACACCTCAGCTCTCATCAATAAATTTTACCCTTTAGCGTATAATATTGTGAAATTGAAGCCTTACAAAGTATTCGTGTTTTCGTTTCTGTTTTCATCGTATTTCTGTAAACATTCCAACTTAGAAATTTTACTCTGAGTTTATTAAATTTTGAGTTTATTTATCAAATATCCATTCATTCTTGTAAATAAACTTTTGAATAACATTTCATTTCTTATAATGTCTATTAATATCATCATAATTAACTTGCCTTATTATATTTTGTACCTCTATTATTTCAATCTATTTAATCTTTAACTTTCCTTTTGTTCCTCATTCATTTATTAAAATGTTACCTACATGCATCTAAGTATAATGACTGTTAAATTTCAATTCATCATTCCTATCATGATCATCCCGTCCATTTTTCTTTTACTATTTGACCCTATATTAAGTTCTTCATTAAAATACCCATATTAATTATACTATTCTTCCTTTACTTATGAAATATATATTTTGTGATCTACAGTATCGGAGCAAGGTCCCCACGAGAAGCGGCTGCTGAACGCTTTGCTCGCAAACTACAACACGCTGGAACGACCAGTCGCGAACGAGAGCGAGCCGCTGGAAGTCAGATTCGGCCTCACGCTGCAGCAGATCATTGATGTGGTGAGTCCATTTGAGATTACAGAACTTCTGCTGTGTTGAGGACTAACTTTAATATCCAAGAATATAATGTAATCTTAGGGACTTAATATTTTTATGTGGAAGAGGTCTATAGTCTAATAGTGGGCTCTCATGGGTGGGTCATGGTTTAGGGAATAAAACTGTTGGAAATTGTAGTAGTAGGTTATATTAGGTCAAGCTAGGGTATTAAATTAATGAGAAAACTAAGTTTGTTACTGTTTTGAGTACTGTAGTTAAATGATAATTAATTTGTGATTAGTAAGTAGTGGTGTTCGGTTTTAAAGGAGACAAAAGTAAAAAAGTAACTAACAGATTACTATCATGAAATGTAAACGAATAAAGTACATATTCAAAAGTCTAACTCAGAAATGAAGAAAATATGAAGCCAAAGCCATAGTTAAATAAAAGTGTAGAGATATCGCCACAAGCCTTGAATAAATGCACAAGCATGAAGCCTCTTTAAAGCAAACCAAAGTCGATAGTCCACTTAGTTTTTATATAGAACCGATATTTTTCTCTCAAATAAGGCTTTTATGTAGGGATTAAAGTGTCGAAGGGATTTCCATCGGGCGCGTCGGGTGGGTGGTGACAGGCTGCGGTACCGGTTCGATTAGCGACGTAATGGGTGACCGTGTCAACCTGAACGCTCTGAATCACCAGTTTTTGTATTTTTTATGGGTTTCTGAATAAAAAACAGGAGAGTAAAATTGTTCTGGCTTAATACGAGATGTGGTTTGTTAATGATGTTCAAGTTTATAACGATGTCATTGGATCCAGAACTTGCAATGATTAAGTCTAGAACTAACTTAAAATTGAAGGTCTTTTTCTATCCTCACAAAAAAAAAACATGAACTTACATGAAGGGCAGTGTTGACTCGAACACGTGCAAAAGGGATGTTTGAATAGGCACGATCTTCTATGTGCAGACTACGTGCAAATATTAAATTGAGTTAGAAACTTTATAAGTTTCATCCTTATAATCCTCAACACAGCGGAAGCTTACATAATTGATGTTACCTAACCCCTATTTTTAGTACTTAATACCTAATTTTAAGTAAAAACTGGAGAAGACATTTTCAGGCGGCCATCTTTGTTTGTTGTGGTCCTTAAAATCATGTTTCGAAACATGTCAAGCAAGAAATTGTTGAAAAAACATTTGTTAGCAAAATATTCCAGTGAATAAAGGAGTCTTGTTTCCATCTACGCCAACAATATAAAGCCAACCGCCGCTATTTGTGTAAATTCAAAGTTTTCCGAAGCATAATATTATAATACATTTGCAAATTTTAGATAAATAATAATATTTTCCATTGTTTCAATATGCTGAATTGTAATTGGGTGGAATATTATATTGAATTTGTTAGGCGAAACTTATCTTGTCGGGATTTATGTTTAGTTAATTTTCGTTTTTCAATTTAGTCTTTAAAGTCAAGTGAATGAAAATCAAAGAAATGATTGTTAGCCTATATTAGTACGTAACTTTGAAATCATTTTCTCACACATTATCAAGATAAAACATTTTCTTAGAGGCCATGTCTATTAGTGCTCAAACGGCTAATAACAGCTAAGTATAGTGGCCTCATGATGACGTCACAAGCACTAATAGCCGATTATCTTATTAGCAATGAGACCATGTAATACAATACTTGTTTAAGGTCAATTTCTAAAGCTAATTATCAATAATGACCAACGAGTATCATCGGTACCATAATGTAAGCACTTACATTGTACGTGAAGTCAAAATTAGATGGTTGTCACAATTTCGGGCTGTTTGCCAAGACATTGTTGCAATAAAACATTATATGCTATTAAGGTAGATTGGTTAAGGTGTGGTCGTTGTTTTAGTGAATTATGTTTATACTTATACTTATATTGTACTCTATGGAGACTGGTTTTTTAATTGAGATAATTGGTTCGTTCGAGAACACATGAGCGTATGTCAGCGTAATTTATGGTCACGATGGCGCATTGGAGATAGGTTTAAAGGAAGTATAATAACTAAAACATTTAATTATTAATTTTTCGCCTTACGTAATTGTTGACGAGGACTCGACTGGTTTCAAGCCATGCTAGACAGCAGACTCGAGCAGCCAGTAGCAGTGCGACAGTCACCGCGTTGCAGGTCTCGGAACGCTGCTCATGAATATGAGCCTCTAGCATGGCTTGAAACTAGTCGAGTTCCTCGTCAAACAGATACGAGTCTAAGCCGAAAACATAATAATTAAATAGTATGCCTCACGAAAGTTTTAATATAAACAAACTAAAACATTTGTGTTACTTTTTACTTCATATTAATTGGAAACAAGGAGTACGGTAGATTCGATCGACCTGAATAACAAAACATAAAAAATATCGATTTCGAGTCGACAACATATATCCGCAAAATTCGAATTACGGAGATTATTTCTTTTTATTAATTCATTTTAATGACACCGACAGATAAACCGCAGTCGCCATCTTGAGTACACAGTAAACGTTCCGTTTCGTACTAGCTCTCAAATAAGCCTCGCCAATCAACACGTCGCGTCAAAAAAGTATAAATTAACAAGAAATATGAATAATGTGAAAAAAAGTTGACGGAAACATATGACGGACTTTATATTATACAGAAGTCACTATTTCACGCGGACGAAGTCACGGGTTACAGCTAGTATATGAATATTCTTTCGACCAAAATGAAGATGGTGTATTAAAAACTCTAGTTTGACCTCTCCAGTTACCAAGAATATATGTATAGCTAGCCAATACGTTTGTACCATTCGGTATTTAAGCCCGAACTCAAAAACGTTGATCCATATGGAAACATCAAAGCTTCCAGTGTTTCAATGCACTTTTTTCATTTAGATATGGTTTTTTATCGGAAAGAGAATATGTAAAGAAATATACTCGGATTTATCATATGCTAGTTTGTTTTTAAAGTTTTGAATAGCAAAATAGGAGTTGAATATTTATGTCTGCGAACGGAAAAGATGACAATGTTCGTAAATATCTGTTTGTCTCTTTTGTTGGTATTGTTTTTGTTAATACATTTGAAATGGTTTTTGAAATTTTATTAGAAATCTGAAATATAGGTACGATATTCGACTTTTATGATTTTTTTATACTTGATAGGTCGACGTTTGGCCACCATCTCGCCTGGCGGTAAGCGATTATGTAGACGATGATGGAGCACACAGGCAAACACAGATTCCGGCAACTGTTCGCACAAGGAAGCTTGAAGCGAAACGCTTCATGCGAATGGGTGGAATGTCCATCATATAAGGGTGGCGCCCTACCGTTCCACTGGTAGTACGGTGGTGAAACGTTTCACTATATTCACTGTCTCGTCGTGGTGGCAAAAGCGTTTACTAACCATAGTGTTCTTGATTTGATTTCCGGGTTGGGTAATGTTGTATGAGTTATAGTTTTGGAAAATTGATACTCTAAGTTATATGACATTAAAAATTACACATAACAGGCGATAAAAGGCGTGATTATCCCCGAAAAGGGATAGGCAGAGGTGCACATTATGCCACTGTACAATGTAACACCCAGTTTTCACTATATATGTTACGAGTCCCATAGGAGGCCTATTGCCTAATTGCCCTTTACCAGGCACAATCCAGACTCCGTACTGAGATTACTGAGTTTTTTTTTTCAACCCAGTTATACTTTGCCCGACCCAGGAATCGAACCTGAGACCCCTTGCCCGGCAGTCGCACTTACGACCACTCGGCCAACGAGGCAGTAAAAAATTAATAGATGAAAATTTGCCATCAAATTTATTGATCCTTCAGTCAAGAAGGATCACATTATCTTGTTATATGTAACTTCTACAAAAGTAACTGTAGGCTCGCCTTTACTTTACTAAACAAAGATTATAGTCTAGAGAAAGTTTTAGTGCAGAAATAAAGGCAGGCTGTTTGTTTATCAAAGCTGCTTAGTACAACCGCAGTTGATTAACCTGCCTTCGAGCAAACAAAGTTATAACCAACCTCTTTGCCTCACAAACTGATAATGTTTCTTTGTTTTATTACGGAACGAATAAAAGGTAGGACTGTTAATCTTATTTGTGTACTTTATTTTCTTTGTGGTAAGGTATACATTCGTTTAAGTATAAGTATAAGGGTCATTGCACTTGTAACATTTTTTATTGTAAAGGTGAATTGGTGAACAGGATTCTTCGTAATATCGATGAATCTGAAAATATGAATGCCCTCGTTCTCGTGTGATAAGATACCCTATGCGTCATTCCCGACCAAAATCTACCCCTGTCGCAAATTTTATCTCGATCCCTTCAGCGGTTTTGACGTGAAAGAGTAACGAACACACATACATCCGCACAAACGTTCGCATATATAATATTTGTAGGAAGGAGAATTTTTTTTTTTTTTAAGTGGGGAAAATCATCGAATGACTGCTCCCGCCTGGGTGAGGCGGAAGGGAGTGTCAGACTCTTACTGACTAAAAACCACCCCGTTCCTTCTCCTGCACGTCGAGCCGGAGCCCCGGTTACCCGTTAGGTTCTCCGCGACTCCGAATCGGCATCGGCCCTATTGGGCCCCATCTGTGGTGGTCTGATGGCTCTTTGAGGCGCGCGCGGAACGCGACGCGCCGTACGCTCGGGTCTGTTTCTGGTCGGACGGGGAGCCACCCATGCTCGCCGTCCGCAGGCCCGCGCTTACGGTGGCCGGAGATCGTCCCGCGATCCCCGACGCCCGGTGTGTCCTTCGCGATGGCTGGGTTGCGAGGAGGCAGCGCTTCGCTGCCTCACGCGTCCCGCCTCCTCCTTAGCTAGCATGACTGCTTCGCAAAAGGAGGAGACGGCATCCCAATCCCCCTCGCTCCGCATCATGGCCTGCACTAGGCCCGGACGCGAGAGGTCGCCATCGCCGATCACTTCCCTGAGGACACGGCGGTGCTCAGCCCACGAAGGGCATTCTCCCACCGTGTGTTCCACCGTGTCCTCAGGGCGGTCCTCGCAGTGATGACACCCGGGCGTT